CTGCTTCTGTTCTCGTTATACATGTCACGTCATCTGCAAAGGCTATATTTTGGTGTCTTTTTTCGTATATCGTGCTCGTTCTGTGGATGCCACTTCTCCTTATTATTGCTTCGAGTACTAGATTGAACAGGGTAGTTGATATTGGATCTCCTTGCCGGAGTCCTGTTCTTACTTGGAATGGTTCTGACAACAGACTATTTATCCTGACTCTGTTTCTGGTGCTCTGCAGGGTCATCTTTGTCAGTTTTATTAGTTTTCTTGGGACTCCCAGTTCTTGCATGGCTTCTAGCAGTTCTTTTCTGTTAACCGTGTCATAGGCTTTTTTAAAGTCTATGAACAGCAGATATAAGTTGATTCCCTGTTCGTAATGTACTTCTTGTAGTTGTTTCAATATAAATATCTGGTCTAGAGTAGATCTATTTTTCCTAAACCCTGCTTGATATTCTTCTACTATTTTTTCCATATGCTGCTTTAGTCTTCGGTTGATGCAAGTGGCCATTACCTTATACGTTACGTCTAGCAGCGCCATACCGCGATAATTTTCGCATTTCGTAATTTCTCCTTTTTTAAATATCGGGCAAAGTACTGCTTCACTCCATTGTTCTGGCATTTTTCCTTCCTTCCAACATTCTAGCACTAGTCGATGTATCTCTGATGCTACTGCTTCTCCTCCGTACTTTAGCATCTCGCCCTTTATTCCGTTTCTACCAGGACTTTTGTTGTTTTTCATCTGCCTTAGTGTTTCTCTGATCTCTCCTTCGTCAATTTCTATTGTTTCATCTGGGTCATCCGAGTCGTTCACTCTTTCGTTCGTATCTTGCTGTGTATCCTGTTCGTTTAGCAGCTCTTCAAAGTATTCTGCCCATCGTTTTATTCTTGCTTGTTCGTCTCCTATCAGTTTGCCGTCCTTGTCTTTACAATATATTACTCGTGGTTGATAGCCTCTTTTCTCTTTTTCACGTCCTGGTAGAAGTTCCTTATTTCATTCTTGTTGAAGTTTTCTTCTATTTGTCGTATTTGTTCTTCCATCTTTGCTCGTTTCTTATTTCTGCATATCTTCTTGTACTCTTTCCTTTTTTCTTAGTAATCTTTTTGGTTCTTCTCGTTTTTTGATTTTAGATATTTCTGTCTGGCTGACCTCCCCGCTTCTATTGCTTTTCTACATTCCTCATCAAACCATTCGTTTCTATTTTTGTTGTCTTTTTTGACGAACCCTAGTACTTCTTCCGAGGTCTTCCATATGTTCTCTTGTAGTTCTTCCCACCTCTCTTCTATAGGTATGTCTTGCTCTGTTGATCTTATTCTCTCATTCATCTTTTGTTCGTATTCCTGTTGTCCTTCAGCTTTCTTAAGTTTGTTTACATTTATATCACGTTGCGTCTTCTTTCCTTCTTTTTTCTTCGGTATTTCTTGTTTGAGATCTGCTCTTACTAGAAAGTGGTTTGAATTCGCTTCTGCTCCCCTGTAGCTTCTTAATCTGGTTATTAGTTGGGCATCTCTCCTTTCTACCAGTATGTGGTCTATTTGGTTGACCGTTTTTCCGTCAGGCGACATCCATGTGCCTTTGTAGATCTCTTTCTGCGCAAAGAAGGTGCTTTTGACTACCATTTTATTTTCTTCTGCAAACTCTATCAGTTTTTCTCCATTTTGATTCGTTTTTTGGTGTTTGCTTTCTTTCCCGATTGTTGGCCTGTAGCAATTCTCTTTACCTATCATTGCGTTGGCGTCTCCTATAACCATTTTAATGTCATGCTTTGGTATTTTCACATATTCTCTTTCTAGTTCTTCGTAATATTCTGTTTTTACGTCTAGATGTTTCCCTTCAGTCGGTGCATTTATATTCAGTAGGCTTATTTTCCTGTACTTACTTCTCAATCTTATATAACTCATTCTTTCTGAGATTGGTTTGAAGGTAATTACTGCTCCTTTCAGGCTCTTCTTCACCATGAATCCTGTTCCTAGTTCTCTGTTGTCAATTCCGCTATTAAATAATATGTAGTTGTCTATTTCAGTGATGAATTTGCCTTGTTGTTTCGTCTCTTGTATAGCTGCTACATCTATATTATACCTTTGTAATTCTTGAACTATTTGTTTGAGTTTTCCTTCGCTATATGTTCCTCGAACATTCCATGTTCCTATTCTAATTTTCGGGTTTTTCTTTCTCTTCGTAATTCCTATCGGGTCATCCATGAGCTTTGCATACGTCGTCATTGTTTTCCGGTGTGTGGTTTCTTCCTCTGTTAGTTTTTTGGATTTTCTTTGGGGTGCGACGGTGCTTTCACTAATTTATCTAATTTAGTGTCCCAATGCCAGATTTCTCCTGCCCATATCATCTTTTTGTACCCTACTTTTGCCTCGACTCCTTTCCCTTTTTCTGCTGCTGCTATTCCTCTTATTTTCTTCTGTATCTCGCTCTCTTGTTTGGTGTAATCGTCTTCAATAAACGTTTTTGATCCTTTTAATTTGTTCTTCTGTTTCATGATTGCTCTTTTTGTGTCCCAGTTCTCTATCTTTGCTACTACTATGTCGTATTTTTCGCTGACTAATCTTGTGTCTTGTATCTTAGTTTGGATTCCTACCTTATTTTTTAGAAGTTCTTCCACCTCTGCTGTTATTTCGCTTCCTTGTAGTTCCCTCCTTTGATTACGATGTTGTTCCTCCTTTCTGCTTTTTCCAGTTTTTCTAATCTTTCGGTCAGTCTTTGGTTTTCTTCTCTTATGTTGTTACTTCTGTTTGGTATGCTCTTTGGTCTCTTTTCATTTCTGCGATTTCCTCCATTAACGTTTTGAACATATTCTTTACTTCGTCCATGTCTCCTGCTTATACCCTCTTCTGCTTCCTCTGTACTCTTTGACCTTCCGGTGATGGTGAAAAGGAGGTGTCTCTTTTTCGTTTCTGGTTGTCTTGTTCTTCTATTGCTAGTTTGTGTCCTTTTTCCGGTTCAGGATTCCCGTTTAGCATTCCCTGGCCGACTTTCTTGCTTCCTGTGTATCTAGTACGTCCCTGTGTTGTTTACTTCGTGCCGCGATAAGAACTGTCACCCAGACTATCTCTTCGGAGGTTAGGTTCTTTTGATTCCTCACTTTCCCTAATAATTGCTGTCCTTACACTTCTTGGTGCTTCTTACTCTTATTCCACTTCACTTCTTTGTTTTTTACTACTTCTCTTTCGCTTTTGACGCTCGATATCTCTCGATTTTCGAGTTTGGAAAATAGTTGAGTGTCAAAATCGAGTGAAACATGTGAGATGTGTGTAAACAAAAGCATCTAAATAATAATTATTTCCCCCAGAATTTCTGGAGGCTTATAAAGTCGACATTGGCCTGAGCGCGCTCCGGTCTGTGGATCATACAAGTTCTCGGGCGACGATGTATCTAACGAGGCAGTTGAAATACCTGATATGTCACAGCGCAAAAACTATTTCTCAAAAAACTTTCAAACGTTGATGTCTTTTTAATCGAACAAAACACAATTGGCGAACGCAATAATCCAGAATGGTGCGCAGAAAAATCCTTTAGACTAACCGAACGTTATTTTGGTAAAATTTGCAAAATGAGAGAACAAGTAACACGGCTAATCCTACTATACTGAACATTTTACATCCCTGCAAATCTAGTTCAGCATGTACTCTCCCAAAATCTTTACATAGAAAATGAAGCATTTTGCAGTAACACCAAACTGACAATAAGACAATGCGGTTTGTATATTTTTAGCGGCATCTCCAGACGGCTTAATAAACAAAAACGCTATCGTAGAAATATATAAAATGTCCAATTTAAAAAATGCTTAATTCAACGAGATGATAAATTTTGGGAAAATAATATGATAGAGCTCTAGAAAAATGTTATTTAGATGCCTTATTTCCGGAAAGAGTAGATTCTCGTTATTAAACAAGTTAACCCATTAGACAAATTGTAAAGAAAAAATTGTACAATTAAATTTTTTATTTGCATTCGCGTCATGTGTAGTTCATGTAAATCTTTTGCCCTTCTAGTATAAACACACACAGAAATAAATAGTAACATTGGAATAGGTTTACTGGAGATATCACGTAAAAAACGTGCCTATAATACTCTACCTCATAGGTGGTGCGGGAAAGAGTATCAAAAAATTAAATTTAAATAAATATGATTGTTCAGGTAAATAAGTGGTTAGTGAAGTGATGAGAATCTAAATCTTGTCAGTTTTGTGTATTGATTAATATATAAAATGACAGATTAATAAAAAATATTTGAATAATTTTTTGAAAGAAAATATTTTAGTAGAATTATAAAATTATAAAAATTTGCGTACTTTTAAATCAAATTATGTCACCAATGAAAGAAGTCGACTTGTAAAAGAGTTTCCACAATGTTGGTCAGCTAAGAGTATTTATGAGTTTTATGACCTAAAGTACCTGGAGTACCTGAAAGGTTCGGTCGGCAAGGCTTCCTCCTGTGTAAAACTCAGCCATTTATTGAAACGGAAAACTTTGTAAATAGGGTTGCCTAGTTTCACTTTATTTTCATTAGTCAGTATTTTTTTAAAAAGCAAATATTTTGATAAATATAAATTTCAAACAAAAATGACCGGGTCTTCGCCATAGAGGTCAATGTTGTCCTTGCATTGATATAAAAGTTGGAGCGAAAAATGCTCTCTCCTCGTCTAAAAATGCAATTTCCTTCGAAGAATAAACGATTAATTAAACACTAAACAATCACTTATTTTAAAAAATATTGTGTCTTCCCCAGAGTTTAGACATAATCTATCAATTGAAATGTCGATCTTTTTTTCAAAGTTGAAATTACGCCCGTAAAATGAAAATCCATTTAGCTCATTTTTCGGTCTGCTACTGGGCACGCTTAACCTTTCTAGATTTACTCGGATACTTTTTACTGTTTCCAAATATCTTTAGAAATACTTTAATATATAAAATTATATTTTATCTCGTCAATCAAAATGAAATTACTTCATCATCTCCAGTTCTTGACATAATAATACAACAATATATTTATTTTCCAGGCATACCGCGGTGGATGTGGAATTAAAACCATCAACAACGGACCCACCGCCACCGGATTCTTTATATCCACCACCGCCGCCTTTCCAGTCTCCCGCCACTCCTACCCGGTCCAGTGATGTGACCCGATCCGAGCCGAACCTAAACGGTTCACATCCCGAACCTGTGATATTACAAGCAGTGCCTTCCCTAAAAAATCTTTCGGAACATTGTCTACCTGATAAAATCTCCAAAATGCACGTTAAAGGTGCCCTTAACCACAGACTGCTGTTACAATCGAAAAGTTTCGGTGTCGACAACGCACGTCCTATTTACCCAAACTGCCCTTTCTCACCGTATGTAAGTCCCACTGGAAGTCCCAGAACAAACAGGAAGAGGCAGCCACTTAAGGAGTCCAGACGGGTTTCCATTGAAAAGTCCGGAATGTACCTACAACTCAATCAATATAAGCTAATGGACTCTATAGGCCAGGTTGGTTTCGTGCATTATGGAGGTGTAGTAAAGTAAATTGTTAATCGAGTATGTTCCACTTCAGACATGACAGAAATCGCCAGAAATTAACTTACTTGACTTGTAAAATTAATAGACACCTAAGTTCTAAACACATGACGTCGGAATTCATTTTACCTCACGGCTTAATTGCAACCTTTTGAAATTTGTATGCGAATTCATTGTTAAATAAGAATCAGATTTACATAGTGGCTCCTACACACCCTTGGTGTCAACTTTTCATTCTAATTTCTCTGTTGAATATCAAATGAAGTGCAACGCATATCCAAGTGGGTAGATAAAACGCTGGAAAGAATTTCGAATACTTTTGCGTATTAAGCGTCAGCGTCGTCTACTAGTTTTCCTCATTTTTTAACTTTATCAACCTACAATAATTTTATCGTTAACGGCGACAGACATAGCATGAGTCAGGCTTTTTAGGATGACACTCAAATGTTAAAAGATAAAAGTAATGTTGAGCTTTACATTTTTGTTCCTGAAATCTCGTTTCAAAGCCGGTGGAGATCGTCCGACCTTTTCAGATTTAATAAAAATACATTTGTTGTAGCCGGGTCGGATCAGGTCATGGCAGGTTGCAATTATGATTTTTATATATACCTTTTAATTTTAGCCGCGTTTTATTAAATAACGTTGGACATTAAATAATTTACTTGTAAATTCACGGTTTCAAATTTTCTCGTCTGACATCCAGTTTTATTTTTATATGAACAAATTTGGTGTAAGTAAAATTAACTCACGTCAGGTTGAAACAATGCAGAGCAGATCAATCAGTGAAAGCACCAATGAGGGTACAATCATTCAACGTTAAAGTCAAAAATGGATCACAACTCAATGTAACATTAATTTCTTATTAAGAAATACTAACACCCAACATTTGTCTTTTTGTCAGTGAGTAGTGGTGGATTAAGTGTTTCATACAGGGTGTTCATTTTATCTGTTCACGCCTGACAATTTTTGCATAGGCAACATATTATACACCCCAGAGACGACTCCGTCCAATTTAATTTTTTTTTTAATAAGCAATCATAGCTAGCAATCACAGAAAAAAATGGCACAGTTGTCAATGCCAAATAATGACAAAATTGAAAAAATTAATACTCAATTTATTAATGGATCAGATTACAACGAAAACTAATATATAATAAATGTCCAAATTGCCTGCCTCCACTATCTTCACAAAGTCCTATCCTACGTTCAAAATTTCTACGAACTCTAAGTGGTTTTTATTTTCGATTGGGACATTACAAACGTCATTTTTCATATATGATACCAACACGTAATTTTCAGTTTTTAGGTTTCCGTTTTCTTGTTTAAAGTACCGTCATTCTGAACAGTGTTGGTTTTCTTCCTCTTAGAGAAATTTTTGTTATGTTTTACACTTTCCTCTGTTGCATTTCTAGATTTTTCTCTTTTTTGTCATGACGTTATACTAAATGGTACTTTTTCGTTTTTTTTTTTTTCTTCCTTTACTTTCACTACATCCCTTAGAATACGTTGTTATGAATACAAAGATCGTTGGTGGAACTACTAATTCTAATCTTAAATTATTACAAAGAATCGAATTTTTTCCGAAGCTTTACAGATTTCATAGATTTTTTAATACTTTTCTGGCGCCAATAATTTTCTAGTTTTTGGACAAAAAGAAACACACAAGTTTCAACAACGTTAAAAATACTAATAATAAAAAAAAACAATTAATAAAATGAGTCTTAGAAATATTTTTTTTTATTTCTTGACGACGTCTCAGTTATAAATGCAACTACTTGTTTCCGGGTCTGCCTTCCTTAAAAAGAATTACTTCTAACGGTGTTTTTACCATTTTTCATATAGTATCAAGGATTTCATCAGGATGCATGAGAAAATCCGAGTTCGCTTTGATGGGTATCCAGTTACATCTATTTTGAATTTTTCTTCTTTTGATAAAACAAGTCCGTTTCCATCTTTCTTTCCGATGGAATATATTTTTCATTTTCTTACCAAGTGTGACTTTAGCTACAATAAATAATTTTAATGATTTTTCTCTTACATCGTTAACAGCTTATTCGTGTTATGGAATATATCGAAAACGCCGATAGCTATTTTGGAGCGTGAAACTGAACTCGAGTGAATTTTTTCAACAAGTAAAAACGTCTCAGTTAACCAAAAAAAAAAAACTGTACTCCTTACAAAAACATTTAATTTTACATTATTATATGATAATAGCTATTTGTGTAAGTAGTTATAAAAAGCTTCATTTTGTGTAACGAGTATAAATTTTAGGAAACAAGCAAAGCGAGTTTTGTAAATTCACAACCTCGTCCTTGAAGTACAATAAAACAAATCCAGCTTTTCTAACAATCATAAAATTTGATTATGCAAATTTTATTTTTATGTGTACATACCTTTATAAGTTAAAACAAATATACAGGGTGGTCCACGAGTAATAATAATAAAGAGCCTGAATAAATTTGAAACGCAACCCAAAATTCATTTTCACCACTATCTTGGATATTATTATAATTATAATTGAAGCATTAAACATAGTAACAAAAATTGTCAAAAATTTTGACAAAAACTTAAAAAAAATAGTATATTAACCACAGTTGCAAAGCCACTTCTAGACCTCGCGCTTCAGAACCCTCGACGCTGCGCGTCTGGGGTTCTAATTTGCGCTCGGTCTAGAATGCTTGACTTTCCAACCTTGGCTAATAATATACTATTATATATTTACAAAGTGACCGAAATTAAAACAAAATAAATTATTCATTGTTTTCTTCGTCGCTGCTGCCAACTAAATATACAGGATTATGATAAGAGTAATGCATAAAATTCTGAAAAACACAGCATTTGTTTTTGAAAAAAAATGCAAAAAGATGTCAAGCTTTTTATTTTACTTTCAATCAATCAATGATTTCTTTTAAATAGGAAGGTTTCAGTTTGATTGCATTATTTGATAAAGCTCATATTTCTACACTTGAATGTAGTTTAGTGTAGGGTTTGCATAACAAACAAATTGAGAAAATTAATAACAAACAAAATAAACTTGATTCTAATGATAAATATTAAATAAACAGAACAATACGTTGGAGTAAAAATTTATGCTATAGAAATTGTTCAAACTGTTCACCATTCACTATCTGACACAAACTCAGACGATAGTAGGTTTGATTTACGGAATTTTTAATAATCTGGGGACTTATGCGAGTCATTTCATGACGAATTCGTGCTTTCAAGTGGTATAAAGTATCCGTTCTGTTCATGTAAACACGACTTTTTAAATAAAAAAGGGGTGTCAGATCCGGAGACCTAGGTGGCTATTCTATTGGTCTCCACGCCTTCCAATCCACAAAGTGATATACAAAGAAACCCTTACATTTGGAACCAAATCCTGCCATCTAAGTTTTTTGGATTCGTGAAAAAAGTAGGAACCAATGAATCTTCTGTTTATTATTCCCACCCAAACGCCCAAGAAAAAAAAGCTGCCACTAAGTTGCGCAGGTTGAAGACCTTCTTAGTGCTCAGCTACAAAAAAAAAACTTTGATTGACTTGGAATGAAATCAAATTAAACGTTCTGAATCAGTTCAAATATTTGAATATCACAAATTTAATAAAAATAAAGCAAAATCTGAATTAAAGTAACTGGATGCGAAAACTATGCAACGGCAGTGGCACCAGAGCGCTATAAGGGTGTGACGACCGAATGATGTTATTTTCATTTAGAGCACAGCAGAAATACCCATAGGGGGCGTTGTAGCGCGAACGGTGTTTGGGGCTCCCGGTTGTGGCTGTTCTCCTACCAACAACTGTACGAGCAGGCCGTTACAGTCGCAAAACTCGCAGTTGGGTCTCGACTATTGGGCCAAGTCGACAGCGTTACGTCATCTCGACCGCCCAAGGCTAAAACGCAGTGAATAGTGAATTGTGGGTTATGGTTTTTAAAATACCATCTTACCATGGCTTAGATTTATTACCCCTCAGGATTATATTTAAAGATGTATAAGTACTGTAAGAAATGATGGTATTTAAAATATGAAAATTTCCGTGACAGAACACTATTAGTGGACCTCTTACCTCTATTTTTGTTTATGTGACCAAAATCACCAACATGAAGTATCAAAAATTGCTACTAGTATAACTCAACTAATAATTCCTGAAAAAAAAGTGAAATAAAAAAATGTATCTGTATCTGCGCCATTAATTTTGTATCTAGATACAGATATTTTGTGCTTAAATTCGATTTTATCTAGATACAGATACTAGATACCCAAAAATGTATCTAGATACTTTATTTAGATACAAGTATCTAGATACTGCCCAACACTGTGTGTTGTACGATACTCTGGACAGTAAATAGAGTTTTGACAAAGATTTCCTCGGACTTTGTTCCATCCTCGTCCTTTAATCCTAAAGAGCGTCTTCAATAACTTGAGGTCTCTCCGTCGGTTTTTCCTTAGATACGCTACCAGTGTCGTTAAATCTGGTCACAATTCGCCGTATGTGCGTCTTCCTCGATGACAACAGGATATTTTACTAGATACTCGTCTTTACACGCATCCACAGAGTACACCCAGTCCCCATCCTCATTAACACGCCATGACGGTAATAGGACATGATGATGAACGTGTTTTGCTCCAAAGAATAACCCATCCTAACCTAAAAAAGTCATTTGTAACACTGACTATAGTCATTCCTCTGTGTTCATTACCCGAGATTATCCCACAATGATCTGATAAAAACTGTTTTTTGAGACATTTAAAGTTCGAATAAAGGGGAAGACAACAAATGAAAACAAGATAAGTCAATTAACGCGCAGAGTGTGGGAAAACGCACCAGTAAACAGTAAAAACGAAGAAATTATTGACGTCCGACAGAATCTGATGAAGCGTTGGCGCCGAAACAATGCAGCCACTGAGGTGGCATTAAAAATAAAAATTTCAATATAAGTGTAATCGTTTCCACAAAACTGTGAAAGACGGCACAC